TAGCTAATGACCTCAAGTTCCAAAATCACTCCAGGAACTTGATAATTTTTCACCCTAATCCAATGTCTCCTTTCCATTGCAGATCTTCTGGAGAAGTCTAGAGTTACTTTCCAGCTAAAGGCAGAAAGAAGCTACCATATTTTTTATCAGATCATGTCTAACAAGAAGCCAGAACTAATTGGTAAGAAAGAGCTTAAATTTATAAGCTAGAAGATAAATTGCTTATGAACACCTTCTAACAGAAAACACGTACTCTGAATTCCATGTATCCAGAAATGCTCCTGATCACCACCAACCCATATGACTATGCCTATGTCAGCCAAGGGGAGATCACAGTCCCTAGCATTGATGACCAAGAAGAGTTGATGGCCACAGATGTAAGTTACAGATGCAGCTTTCTTTAAAAATACTTTATATACGGGAACACAGTAACAACCCGTTGTAGGTGTGGTTAAGGATATAGTATAAATTCTCCTAAATAAGTTGCAGTCTTCCACCCTAACTTTTGTCCTCTTGTCTCTCCTGGTAGAGCGCCATTGAAATCCTGGGCTTCACTTCTGATGAAAGAGTGTCCATCTATAAGCTCACAGGGGCAGTAATGCACTATGGGAACATGAAATTCAAGCAAAAGCAGCGTGAGGAGCAAGCGGAGCCAGATGGCACTGAAGGTACCAAATGAACCTCCATGTGGGTTTAATGAGAAATACAGGCAAAATGTCCATTCCAAACTCATGCCTCCTTTACAACTGAGCTTCTGATGGACAGATGCAAATTTATCCCCACACAGACTTTCTATGAAATGATTCACTCCCTACTCTGCCCCTGTGGATTGTGAAGCCCACAGTAGGTCATGTTGGGTACCTGAATTGTGTTTCTGCAGTTGCTGATAAGGCTGCCTATCTTCAGGGTCTGAACTCTGCTGACCTGCTCAAAGCCATGTGCTACCCCAGGGTCAAGGTTGGCAATGAGTTCGTCACCAAAGGCCAGACTGTAGAGCAGGTAGGTGCATAATTCAAATTCACCACCAGGGACACAAGCATTGTACATTCCTCCAATAACCTCAAGAGATATATCTTTGTCTTTCAAGGTGTACAATGCCGTGGGTGCTCTGGCTAAAGCCGTCTATGATAAGATGTTCCTGTGGATGGTCGCCCGCATCAACCAGCAGCTGGACACCAAGCAGCCCAGACAGTACTTCATCGGAGTCTTGGACATCGCTGGCTTTGAGATCTTTGACGTGAGTTAGCAGAAACTTTGTAGCAGAAAAAGTTTATAAATCTTGCTGTCACACTCCATATTAGAAAAGGTCTATGAAAAATAGCTGCACTACAAATTAAATTGACACATGAAAGAAAAGCAAAAGTCCATGAAAGGGCAGGAACTTTGGGCTGAGACAGATCTGGACTCACACTCCACCTCTGTCAATTCCTACCCATGTGAACCTGGATAATAGGAATGGTATTGACCAACCATTGGGCAAATTCAACTAGCACCTGTATGTAGAGCACCTAGCCCTCCAGATAACACACTCACTCCTAAGATCTTTCTGGCAGTTACAAGATTTCTGAATTTAAAGCCCTAAGTACAGTCCCCAAGCACATCGTCAGCACTCAGTAAATGATAAAGAAGGTGATGAGGGCGACAATGGCAGCAAAGATGGCACTGGAGAAGACAATGACAAATTCAAAAAAAGATTTTGAGATTCCTATCTGCCCTGCAATATCCAGGAATAGAAGATGGAAATGGCATTGTAAAGAAACTCAAATTCATCTGCCTAAGAAAGAACACCTCCCATATAGCTTAGGAAACAAGGTTACCCAGGTCCTCTACCTGACAGCAGTCTTGGATGTCTGATCCTCAAATCACATTTCTACACCTTTCTCTAAGAGTGGACTGACAGACACAGGATGAGATTTTCTGAGTTTTAGGGACAACAGCATTTCCAGAAATTCCCAACCCACATGGGAAAAGAGGAATAACCTGCACCAAGTAGGAACAGGGAGAGCAATCCACATGTCTTCAAATAAGAAAACTAATGACAGTGCAAACTTGCAACCTCTTTGAGGTTTTTTTTGCTTGCGTTTTTTTTTGTGTGTGTGTGTGTGAGGAAGATTAGCCCTGAGCTAACACCCATTGCCAATCCTCCTCTTTTTGCTGAGGAAGATTGGCCCTGGGCTATCATCCATGCCCATCTTCCTCTACTTCATATGGGATGCCGCCACAGCACGGCTCGACAAGCGGTGCACCGATTCGCGCCTGGGATCCGAAACTGCAAACCACCGGCTGCCAAAGCGGAGCACGCAAACTTAACCACTATGCCATTTGGCCAGCCCCCTCTTTGAGTTTTTTAAATAATCGTTTTACTGAGATATAATTCACATATCATACAATTCACCTACTTAAAGTACTCAACTCAGTGGTTTTTAGTACATTCACAGATATGGGCAACCATCACAATGGATTTAGAACATTTTCATCCTCCTAACAAGAAACCCCACCCCCATTAAGCAGTGACTCCCATTTCCCCCTCCCCCATCCCTGGAAACTATTAATCTGCCTTCTGTCCCTATGGATTGGCCTATTCCGGACATTTCATAGAAATGGAATCAGACAATACATGGTCCTTTGCGACTGGCTTCTGTCACTTAGGATAACATTTGCAAGGTTCATCGTGTTGTAGAACCTCTGTGACTTCCGTGTATGGCGATACTGCTCTTGGACAAAACCATTCCCAATTGTGTTTATATCAAGGTGTCTTGAACAGTGGGGCAGAGCAGATCTCCTCAAGTTCTGGGAGGGCTTACCAACCCTGGCTCTGTTGCCAAAGTGCTGGAGCCTGGAGCCCCTGCCCCGGCCCTTCCTAGCATGATCTTGCACAGGTTCTTCACCTCTCTAAGAGTGTTT